CTTTTACTTACATGTAGTCCGTGAATCCTGCTGCAGCTGGGCCTCTTTCGTACTTTGCAGAGGAGTCCTGTTTGGCTGGACTGCAAGTAATTAGTACCAAATACAGACAGGGGTGAATCTTGCTGATGCACTGCTTCCAGAACTGCCAAAATCAGAGGGAAAAATCAGCTGTCTAGCCTTTGGTGGTGATCCCAGCACTAACTGAAGTGTAATGTGAGAAGACGCTTATTGTGGCAGGAAAAATGAATAGATTTTCCTAGATAAGTTTAATGAAAGCTCAGAGAAAATCTACTTAAAGTTCCTCAGATCTGAGCCAGGTGTGAAAAACGGTGCAAATGCCAGATACATTTTGCAAGTGGTGTCTAGCAGTTAGTCAACATAATTAGGTCCTGGTTATTTATTGTCAGGGTTATTTTGTGTCTTCCACATATTTTGGTTGTTTGGTTATATCATGATTTAACCTCTTCTGGCAAATAAGTACCAGGCAGTTGCTTGCTCACTCCCTGCCTTGATGAGATGGGGAGGAGGATCAGATAAAGGTAAAATCTGTCCGCAGTTTATATACTGGATGTTCTATGCTATGGAATATCCTTTTGTCCACTTCAGGTCATCTGTCCTGGCCATGGTCCCTCCCAGCTTCTTGTGCAGCTGCTCACTAGCAGAACAGTCCTTCACTCAGGATAAAAACTGCGCAGCAGCAGCCAAAACATCAGTGTGTTATCTATGTAATTCTCATACTAAGTCCAAAACACAGCACTGTACAAGCTACCAAGAGGAAAATGAACTTTGTCTCGGCTGATATTGGGACAGGTTATAAGCCTTGTACATGACTTTTTTTACTTTTAAATAACTTTTTTATCCTTGCCAGAAGCTTCTGTTTTGTTTGTTCTGCCTCTGGCATGGATTGCATGTGTTTACCATAATCCAAAGACTTCAATATAATTAAGTAATTTCTGATTTTGCACACCTTGAACAAGGTGGGTAGACAAAATTTTTAGGGTTAGTGAAAAAACATTGATGTTGGCAAAGGAGAGAAAGTCTTGCATTACTGCCTTTACCTGGCCCTTCTCCTTTCTCTGGATTTCAGCTGAAGCTCAAATAAGACCTGATTCTTCAAAGGGCTGATTTTTCTCTACTGTTTCCTGTGGGACACCGTCGTTTTTTTTCTGCTTAGGATGCTACCAGGCTTTATGCAACTTTTGAAGACAGAATCAGCCATTAAATCACACAGCTCGACCTCCTGTACAAGATAGACCATTAAATCTGACCTTGAACAGAAGACGTTCATAAACCTCCCTTATACCAAAGGCTTATCATGCTGTTTGAGACAGTAGTCGTGTTTCCTTCAGACTCCAGTAATTTTCCATAAAGGCTGTGCTTTGTAAGTTGGAGTCAATTTGCAGACTTCTTCCACTTGAAGGCTAAAGATTACACAAGAGAAGAAGTCCATTTCTGCCCTGCCCTTTCAGCCTGTGGTATGCAGTGGGCAGCAGTGCACACTGTGGGAGGCAGGTCTGCCTTTCTGCAGATGCAGTAATTGCTCAGACAGCTCTGGATCAGGTTTGCAGGGGCAAAAAGGGACCTACAGGATCTTGTGGTAGATCATTAATTTCTTGCCTCTGTCACTTTGCTATCCTCCTGAGTTATGGTTTACAGGCAGTTAAGGACTCTCATAAAGGGGTTTCTGCTGAACTTTCTAAATGTTAATACAACTACAGTATTGTAATTTAGAAGAATTTTTTTTTTATTTTAAGAATTTGTTTTGACTATAGGCAAGCAAAATGCTTATGTCTAAGAGTAAACAGTACTTTTGGAGCAAAAAGAGGCATGGCAAAGTGAGTTTGTATTTAGTCAACATAAATTTTGGGTCATAAATTTTTGAGAACTAAAGCTTTACTCTATGTGTTGAGAAGGCAAAACAGGAAAAAGCCAAAAAGGCATTATTTGGAGAAAAAAATAAAAGGTTTTTTGTTTAACCCAGGACATCTTGCAATCCATAGGAAAAAAAGAGATTATTTTGACAAGTCTCATTTTTAACAAATTAGGAGAAATAAAGATAAATCTGGGTATCATAACCTAAATTTGACCCTATTCTTATTGACATCTGTAGCAAAAAAAGGTCTTTACTTGGGATTTACAACGCAGATTTCTTCATGGAGCCTTCAAATGGCACCTTTATTTCTTATCCTGCTTTATTTTTTTGTTATCTTCTACTGCCATTATTTTTAGTCACAGCGGTGTACATAAGGTTCCCTTCAAAAGGATTCCCCCTGGCAGCTTAGGAAAAAATAGTTACAAAGCTCCAGAATGGGGCCAGGATCTGAACTTTGTTGGCAGGAAAGGCATAAATATGAGCCTTCCAATGTAATTCTAAGTGATTAAAAAAAATGGGGAGAATAAGCTTTAGCAAGCATTTTAAGAGGCAAAGCACTTTACCAATGCTGAAGTGAACTTCCCTAAAAGAGCCTGTGCTGTCAAGGTCATTATTACCTGGTTAAACTGACTGCAAGGTAATTTAATTGTCTGGCTGCACCCTTGCTTTTGGCAGAGACTTGTGAGGGTACTCAGCATTAGTTATAGCTGTGTTCAGTGTCTGAGCAAGCTGAAAAGTCCAGGTGTGTCCACTTTGGAGAAATTATGTTGTCTGGCTTTTAAATGTGTGTTATCTTCTACTTACATTCAGCACAAGATAGTAATGACATTTAATTTTACAGGTCTCTGAAAACACATCTTCAAAAATCTAGTTTGTTTCCTTTTTTTTTTTTTTTTTTAGTATTTAGAAAATATGTACTGAATTAATCTTTATTTTGTATTTCTGTCTTGTAAAATTACTCTGAAGGTGAACAAAATATAATATAACTGGAGTGGTGGTGTGGTCTCACAGAAAGAAACACTTCATAATAGTTACAGTAATGTCTTTTTTTGGGGGAGAATCTTATCTACCTTATCTACGAATGAGATCTATATCTTAATGCTTAAGTATCTCAGAGACAAAGAAATATCTGAGAAAGAAAATATCCACTGGACTATTTGCAGTGGTGGTAAATGTAATAGGTAATAAGGAGCAATAGGTATCATTTGCTCATCAAATAAAGTTTAATTAAATAAGTAATTAAGTTTAACAAAACAAGTTGCAATAAGTCTGGCAAAGGCTTTGTTCAAGTTATGGACTGAGCAGTCACAAAAAGGAGAAACCACAGTGTTGTAACTGCTGAATGTTTAACTACACGATTGTTATGAATTTGTATGTTATGTCATGTCATTTTATAAGTGTTTGTTCTGAGCAGACTTATAGGGAAGTAGAATAGAATGAAACAGCAAAGAACCAAAGGAAAGGACTTACCCCCCCTGGAAATTTCCGCACGGCAGACACTGAGGACTATGGTCTAACCAAATCATTGGCTGAGCCTAAGTGATGAGATGGAGCCCGTGAAACAAGGACCAATACTGGGGGAGCCCGCAAAAGGAAACCCAATAAAGAAATCGAAAGAGACTTCTGGGGTGGAGATAGAAGGGGGTATAAAACGTGGGGTGTGGGCTTGCTGCATTGCAGACCGTTGGCGGAACAGGGGTTTCCCCCGGTCTCCCAGTGCGCTGTTTTGCTTCTTTGCCTTTAATAAATTTCTTTTACATTTTAAAAAATTATCTCTGGTGTTTTGACTATAACAGTAAATATGCAAATTCTGATATGTACCAGCCTAGTTTTAAAATATGACATGGAATCAAGACACTGTACTTCCAGTGAATAAATCTGCTGGGAAGGTTTCCTGACAATGTCCAAATTTCCTCTTTCATAATATTTTACTCTTTCATAATATATTACTTCATAATAATTAATTCTAATTATATCTAATATTGCTGAAATAAATTTATCTGGGATAGATAGTGTGAGCTGAAAGCCTAACTTTCCTTACCTAAAGTGAAACTATTAGTTAATTATTAATCAATTAATCAGTCTGTAAAAATCTGCTTGCCTTTCATTAGAAAGTCTTTTTTCAGCTTCCTTAGGAAACGTTTCCAATGTAAATTAAGAAAAAGGATTGTTTCCACTTAAATTATCTCTTTTTCTTTCCATCAGCCTTCTGTTTTCAAGTTCTAATGCAGTTTCTGGAACTCCTGTAAGCACACATGATCACTAGGTGGTGATGTTCTGCCTAGGAAAGCTTAAAATGGGGGAAGTTCAGAGCCATGAATAACAGATTAAAAAAGCCAGAGAACAGAGAGATTACTATTTTTTAATTATTGTAGTTTTTTCTATACAGTTTTGCAAAAGTTGCAAGCTTGGAAAAAACTCACCTTTTTCTGGTCGATTTATTTTAATCTGACAAATTATTTGCTATGGACCTTAACTTGAATAATGAACCTTGTATGTAAATAATTACATCTCCTATCACCAGGCAGTTAACAATACTGCTGTAAAGACCTTGGAAAGGTTGGTGGCATTTGATACTGCATTGTCAAAGCTAGTGTTTAAAAATATGATTGCAGTCAGTATATGGAGGGGAGTAAATAAGGTGCTGAGGTTGACATGTAGTTATGCTAAGTTCCTGTTTTCATAAAGGTATTTGCTCTGTCTTATGCTTTCTTGATCTATAAGGAGGTACAAAAGTGTTTCCCAAACCCAGGATAGTCTCCTCCATTAAATAACAGGATAGTTGTTTATATCACAGGGAGTGGTGTGTAGAGGACTTAGACTTTCAGAAGAATCCTCTCTTTATAATTTTGAAATATTCTCCTGAGTTCACAGCAACCTGTCTAGAAATTCCTACATGTCTTTTGGGAATTGTGCACGTGCCAAATGCTACACCAAAATTTTCCACCCAGATCCGGTTTCTGACAATTGCATTCTAAAACTAGTTTCTAGGATCTCATTAAATAAAAACAAGAAATAACTCACTTCTGTCTTCTCTGCCCCTAAAAAAAATGCTTCCTAAGAAAACAATATTAATGGCAGTGAAGAACAAATGCTCAAAGACTGACGCAGACTTATGGCTGCCCACTAACCTCACAAAAAATGGAATCAGTTTTGAAATCCAGACAATAGAGAAGGGAGAGGGAAAGGCACTGGGACAGGTCCATGCAAAGAACTTTTTCCAGTCTAGTGATGTCTGTGAGGGTTGTGGGGTAAAAAATAAAATAATCAGCATTTTTACACCAGCACAGTAAATGCCTGGTGCAAATGCAACTCATTTTGACAAACAAGTCAATACAGTTTATTTCATTTGTGGCAGAAGTAATAAGCTGTGTCAGCACAACCAGCCTTGCTGGGTAAGCTGTATCTGTCCTGTGAGGGCTCATTAACTTTCTTTGTTGCAGACCAGGCCTTATAGAGGAGCTTCTTGCTTATATACTGGCAGTAATCAAAACATTGGGACAGACTTCAAATTTCATCTGATTAAGAAGTTCTACTTTCACCCTTTTTAAATATCCTTACTGCTCTAGCGTTGCTGTGAGTACTAATGGCACCCTCTGATACAGAGGTGGCTTTTGGGCAAAAATCAAACCACTCCATATTAGTTCACTTTTTCTCAGCAGGAAAGATGCACCCTGTGAGCACCTCCGCAGCTCTTCCTGCTCCATCGGAAGACTTCTCTCTCTGGCTTATGCTGTGTCAAATCAGGCTGAAAAGGGAAGATTTTTCAGAGTGGAAAATACCAAGATTCTGTTACTGATCATATCTGGAAGACAAGAGGGCTGTAAGAGAGGCAAACCCATCTCATCACTATAATACTGAAACTTTAAGAAACTGGAGAACTGGCAGGACACCATGAAATCAGATTATGGGACTACTATAAATATGCCTGTATTTATTACACTGTTTTATAATTTCATGCTCCCATTTTACAGCCAAGTATAAAGTTGTATCAAATGAGAGGTGGAAGCTAGTCTCTGAGCTTACCTGGATTTATCAGGTCCAGCAGACGAGCCCGTAATGTTGCTGGTGAGAGGATCTTTTAGGAGGAGTCTGTGGTTCTCCAGCACATTTTTTATTTAACCAGAAATCATGTTTAATAAGAAAGTGAAACAGCACTTTCTATGCATTCCTCTTGCAAGTAAACATTTTAAATCCACAGGCTGCAGGCATTAAGTCAATTGGAAAACATCTGAAACCTCCTCATTCATAAGGAAAACCTCTTACATTTTCTGAAAAAATAGGATTTCAGCTATGTTTTCCATATCAAACATTAGAATTTGGTTGAAATAACAGGATTCATAGTTAAATATGAAAATTGTGTTTCCTCTGCAAGTGTCTGAATTCTGTAATAGCATTTAGTTTTACAGATTTTTAATACTACTGCTTAGTAACCCTGCAGATTCCACATCTGAAATGAATGCAGATCATCTGTAATCATGCTAATGTTTTAGGTAATTTTGTTTACCCTTGACAGAAAGCTAATTATGTATGTATTTAATTACCCCACACTTCTCTTTCTCTATCTCTTTCTCTCTCTCCCTCTTTCCTCCTGTGCTTTTTTCCTTCTTTCCTTCTTTCCTTTCCTTCCTTTCCTTCCCTCCTTTTTTCTTTCTTTTTCCTTTATTTATTTCCTCTATCATTAGGAAAAAACCTGCAATTTAAGCTTTGAGGCTCCTGTTTGTATTCTCAGTAAACTAGCTCTGCTTCTCTCATATCCTAGCATGAGAGCTCTCAAAAATAACCATATTGCTTGGGTTTTATTGCAAAGTAATGAAATTATGAAGCCTGTTGAGTCTGTTGGTGATGCATTCAAAATGGCATCCATGCTCTCAAAATTTGCCTGATCCTACTTTGGTGTGAAAGGAGATTTTGGGCATTGACTTTACTACTGGACTGAAAACAGCCATAGAGAGCACTGTAATGTCAGGCTTGTGTGCAGGTCCCAGCATTTGGTTCAGTCTCTTTAGTCTATACTGTGTAAAATTACTGCCAAAATATCAGTCAAAAAGCTCTTTTTCTCCTGCTGTGGGAACAGTGGGATAAGCATAACTTACTTTTCCTAGTTTGGAAGTTTTTCATTCATGAAAGCCCCCAGTAATGTCTGCACAGCAAAGCCATTCTGGTAGTGCAAATCCCAGTGAAGCCACCGTGGGGTGCTCGTGGCTGCAGGGTGGTCCCCTGAAATGTCTGATTGCACAAGGCAGACCAGTGTCTACAGCAGAGCTCACCTTCTGCTGTGAAATACTGAAACCAGCATCAAGTCCTTTGCCTTGTTAAAACCCACAAACATAATGAGAAGGTAGCACAGGCTCTTTGCTCACTGCGAACAGAAACCTTGTACTGCAGCTTACAGCAGACAGATTTTGCATTTGAGAAGGGCACTCTCTTTGGGTCAAGGATGGATATACCTCTTAATTTCGTGCTATTTTGTGCTAGTGCTGCCAGATGGTGGTACCCCTCTGTCCTTTGATACTGCAGAGCTTTGAACTGGTGATAAAAAGACAAAGGGTTCCACACATCAAAAACTGCCTGTGAGCAGCTTACTACTTCCCTTCAGTTCTCAATGTTCTGCTATGGTTTGCATATCTAATCAAGGTAATTAATAGTGGAGTTTTAAGGATTATGGATATGCAGAAAATATATATGGAGAAGAGTTAAGATTACTTATCTATAATGAGATAGTGTTTTGTACGTTTTTTTTTGGTAAGCTAATAAAACATATTACAATAGCAGAGAAATATTGGCAGGGTCATGGGCTGCATCTCATATTTATTTTCCACAATTTATTGAGGAAAAAGTCTTCTAGTTTTATTCCTTTAGCTGTGAGGTTAAGCTCTGTATTACTTGTTGGCCAGCAGGTAACAGTAAAAGTAGCTGATAATGAAGGGCTTTCAGTCAGGAGAACTATGGCATGTCTGCATGATGACAGGCATTGTGGAGGAAAATGTTCGACTGGATCAAATAATTGATTTTTTAACTAAAGTGTCCCAAGTCACTACTTACTATAGGATAAATTTTTTTGGAGGTCTGAAACAGAGAGAACTGCTAAATACTTTGTGTGTATTGTTATAAAATTGAAAAATGTCTGTTGCCCTGGCCCTCCGTAGCCACATCGTGGGAGCTTTTGCTTCCTGACAGTTGCATGTGATTGATGCTGATGAGTCTTCTTTCTACACTGAATTAGTCCTGTGAAGGTGATGTTTTTCAGTCAGAAGTTGTGTCTGTGATATTGCAGTGATTAAACCCATATTGACCATACTCCATCTCTCTTCCATCCTGTGTTTACCTCCATGGGCAGCTGGTTGGCCAGCCCTTCCCAGACTAGGCAATAGTGAAGCAGTTTTCTCAGGATGCTCTGATGTCCAGAGGCACTTCTCTGTTAAAAATAAATAAATAAATCAGGGTCTGGATTCCTTAACTGTCTTGCAAAGTGTATTAAATGTTCCAGAACAACTTCTATGAATCCGTCCCTAACACCACCTCTACTAGATGTGATCTAACAGATTTTTTTTGTTGTCTGCTTCAATGTATTTGCAAAAGGTTCATTGTTTGTGCGTTCTGATGTTTACTTATAGCCAACAGAAATAAACAAACGACTGGACTAAATTGCATCAAAGTGTTTGGTATGGAGACCAAATAAAGTCAATCTCCTTTTGCAATGTTTAATAACCATTACTGGGTTTTACTTTGGGAGTCTCAAATACTTCATCTCAGTAAGCTGTAAACTATCAGGGGTGTGTATTCTGCTTCACTTGCTGTTTATGAGATACTGTTGTTCTTAAAGTTGGGTGACATTTCCTTTGTGTCCAGCTCTTTAATCTTGTGGCTTAATAGTAAAATTTGGAATCAAGATGGCATTAAAAATATGGAAATATAATGGAACAGTGCTTGTATGTTTAGTATTCAAGGTACAGAATCAGCTTTTGACCTTCTCATTTTATTGTCATACATTTCTTCCCTTCTTCTGTGCTAATTAGTAATGATCTGAAGGTTCCCAACCGTGTGTTTTTCCATATCTCCAATCTTGATCACATTAGGGAAGAATGCACAGAGGTGTGTGCCCACAACAACAAACTGTAGTGGTTTTACCATATGAGAAGAAAATAAAACAAAACCAAGTATTTGCCTCCTTCTGTGTTCATGTGCCAAGACATGGGGCAGATTTTCATCATCGTCTCAAGGGAACATGAAGGGGCCAAAAGACAATATGGTTTGCCTTATCACTGTAGCCGTGGAACTACTGTGCCTGGTGCAGCAGGATGGGAGGTGAAAGATGGCTCTTCAAATATGAGTGTGATCTCTTACGGATTTCATAGACACTAGGTTACTGGCACATCCTCTTTTCCCACCGTGGCAGGGCTGCCCCAAATGTCAGTTTTTCATGGAGTCAAATAGACAGAAAAGAGTAGGAAAAAGAAAGGGCAGGGACAGGGAACTGAATTGGAGGGGAAGATGGGATTGAGATGTGGCTACTACAGGAATTCATAGGAGAATTTTTATGCAGATTGTTTGGCAGTGAGGATGGGAGGCTTATGGCTAGCAGCATTCTTGTAACCTGAAAAGCTTTTGGGTTTAATAACTGGAGGCTTTTAAATTGTTTTCTCAATGCGGGTAGGTACCTCTGTGGCACATAAACATTTCCCCAAAACATAAGCTTTCAGAAGCTTTCAGCTTCTCAGCTTCTTATCCCCTGTGATAACACCAAGCAAAGCTGGAAGGTCAGAGCTCAGCCCCAGCATCTCCATGTGCCCCTCCTCTTGGAGAATTTATAAACAAAGCAACTGACGTGGAGAAGAGAACGGCAGGACATCAGATTGCTTTTCCTGATGCCTGGCTCTTTGAGGCAGATTCCAGTTTAAGTGATTATTTATATACGTCTACAGTGTAATTGGCATTTCTTCTCCTGAATCTTCAGGAGGTGCAAGTCATAATAAATGTGATGGACAGAACTGAATTATGAAAGAAGCCAGAAATATTTCATAGGGACGTCAGGAAATAATTTTTTAAATATAAGATACGTCTCCTGTAGGAGACTGAAAATAATTTTTCTTTATTATTTAGGATAATAAATTCCCTTTATGCTTAAATGCATTGCT